ACAACATTTTCACATCAGTAATTAGAGAGACGGCTCTGCAATGTTCACTTAAAACCGACCAAATTTCAGGATTCTCATAAAGTCCAGGAAAAGGTAGTTGTCAGCCTAGAAATACCCTTAGAAAATGGGTGCGATTAGCTAGTTAGTGGGTCTAGTTTCTGTAGTTATATAGTAAAAGTTAGATAGTAATTAGGGAAAAGAGTTTTCTACTGAATACCATAAAGTGTTTAAGGATAACATAATTCAAAATATGGCTAGAAATACTCGTCTGTTAATGCTGATCAATAATATATATGGTTTTATGGGTCCTTATACTGCCTTGGTAAAATAAAGTGTATCAACAACTTCCACTTGAAACCCTTCAGAAACTTGATTTGCCCTGAATATGCGAGTGAAGCCAAAATTGTGGGTACAATGCCACAACGAGAACGAAGCCAACACTGCTGGTAATCATTTTTCACTGCAACTTTTCATTTTCATTTTCCACACACGCACATGGAAAAGTCACATACAGTTGCACACCTGTGCGTAGGTCTTGCTCTTGACTTTTGAGTCAGAAAATTAATAGCCTGACCACAGAAATTCTTATAATATTCGTTGGGATTTTGTCCAGCGAAGAGTGAGACCATTTTGTGTCGTAGCTATCAAAGCAATTTCCCTTTGTTTGCCCAACTTGTTGTAGTTTCTGTTTGCGTTTGCCATTTTAATTAAGTCAAAGTGTTTGCTTTACGTTCAAAAAAAAGTGAAGCACAAAAAGTCGAGAGTAAAAAACAATAAACATTCCTGAGTAAATATTTTTGTTTTATGAAGCCTTCCTGGTTTATACACTCAGTTTCCCTGCAGATTGCTGCTGGCTTTTAAATCCTGAATCTTGATTGCCATTCCGATTTATTATTATTCAATAATTATGTGGAACCTATGAATGTTTAATGAGCGGGAAAATAAAGCAACTCCGAGAGTAAAAACGAGAGGAAATGTTTTTCATTTAAAATGTATTTTTATTATCACCACTTTTCAGTCTCAATCAAATTTTTGCAAATGAGAAATATATAATATTTATTGTGAAAAAATAAAACCCTGCAATTATTACTCAATTAATTGTAGTTATTTATTTTTTTAATAAAGAAATATCAAATAAGATAATAATTAAGTCTTAAAGTCTTTAGTCTTAAGTTAAAAAATAAGACTCACAAACTGAGAATTTCTACGAAGAAATTTGAAAATCCCCAAATAGTGATTTTTAATACAATCTAAAATCTCAAGTTTAAAACAAAGTTATATAAAAAAGCACTTAAAATTATTATTTATAAATGAGATTAAGTATTCAAGAAATAAAAAACTTTTACCCACACAGTTTAAAACATTTCTGATCATAATTTATAGATGAGCCTCTGGTTTCTCTTGGAGAATATTAAACTAATGAAAAATAGACATTTTGGCAGGATATCATCAGCCCTGCTCTGAGAAGGAGAAATCCCTGGAGTTAGAGGACAGAAAGTGGCACAGAAACACGTACGCAGAGCACCCGCCAGGTGAACTATGTACGACGAGGACACTCAACTAGCTGGGACAGACAGAAGGCGGGGTGGGGATTTGTGCGAGTCCCGTTTAGTATCCTCGCCAACCAGGAGGCGGGCTAAAATTCCGTCAGTCGGGCCATGACAACGGACCAAAGAGGAGGGAGAAAGAACGGTGGGCGAAATAAAAAACGCATATTGCGTAAATTTCGATGTCAAAGGCGGAGGCAGGTCACAAAGTCGCTTGCGGATGCGGACTCTCATTCGGATGCGGATTCGGGAGGATTCGAAGGAGCCAGGGGAGCCCAAGTTGAGGAGGGCCAGGAGCCCTGGGAGTCAGGTGCGTGTGCGGCACTTATGAGTGGCACTTAGTCTGGCCTAATACCCATCATTAGAGCATTTAACAGGAAACACGTGACACTGCATAGCAGCCACCCACTACCCACCACCTCGCCAACTCCAGTTCCCCGTCCTGTCCTCGCTGTCGTCCTAAAACACCGGCATTTGGGAGAAAAGAGGATGTGCCACTTTAAACACGGCCTACAGTTTTCACACCCAAAAGGATTTGTCAAAGCTGGCTTTTAAAGTGCCACAAAGAGTGGCAGCAGTAGGCGTTGAGGCCAACACACAGTGGTTTCAGATCCTGCACTGATTGTGCCCAGGAAATGTAATTAATTTCAAATTTATTCTTCGCATTAAGCCGGGGGCTAAGCGACGCGTTAGTACCGTGGCTTACATAAGGAGATTGCGAATTTATCGGCTGCTCGACTATATTTATTATTTACCAAACGATTAGACAGCTAATTTGTCTGATAGCCGGTATTATTGTGTTTTTTAAGCCTTGATTGTAGTCGGTAAATTTAGTGGTTAACGTGAAAACATTATCTTAAGCTGAGATTAGTTTATAAAGCAACATTTCATCACTTTAGACATGTTTTATGTGAATGGAAAACAAGTATTTAGAAGGAATCCTTTTATAAGATATCCTACCAAATATAAGTAACGTTTGACTTTATTTTATTATTTAAAAATCAAAGCTACAACCTATTTAGTTATTTTAATAATTAAAATTAATAACTAATTTTTAGCTAAGATAAATTTTTAGATTTTTTTTATTTTTAATTTAAAACAAGAAAAAAAGCTAACTTTGGCCAGCCAAAGTTAGTATATCCTTGCAGGTAACAATTAAAATATATCATAACTAAGCCAAAAACGCATTAATTTCGATTCGGAAAGCAGTTTTGTGTTAGTTTTTATTAATTTAAAAAACTGCATACCAAATTTAAAATTTTAAGAAATCAAAAATTTTTGCCATTTTTGCTAATTTTAATGATGTAACCCCTTATCAAATTTCGCAAAAATGGCCAAAAAATCGATTTCTTCCGGGCATGTCTAAAAAGATTCACATGTTAATGCTGATCAAGAATATATACGGTTTATGGGGTCGGAAATGATTCCTTGACTTAGAAAAATATTATTTTGTATTATAAAATCTGATTTTTTATATTAAAAAACTTCTTGATTTTTTTTTAAATTAAAAATATCATAACTGGGCCAAAAGAGCATTAATTTTAAATCGGAAAACTGTTCTGTGCAAGATTTTCTACAGTTAATAAATCTGCATAATTCATTTAAAATTTTTAAAAATTCAATTTTTTATCAAAATCCAAAATTTTAATGATGTAACCCCTTATAAAATTTTGCAAAAATGGCCAAAAAATCGATTTCTTCCTGACATATCTAGAAAGATTCCCCTGTTGATGCTGATCAAGAATATATATGGTTTATGGGGTCGAAAATCAAAACTAAAAATTGTCTAGATTGATGAGGCAGTTGATGCAGACTTTGTTATTTATTGTTTTATTTGAATATTTTTAATAAAATATCAATAACAATTTGTTTAAGTCTTATATTTTAGGAAGGAAAATTTTAAAATGTAATCTCCAGGCCCAAATTATAAAGTTTCGTAGACACCAAATAACAACCCAAAAGCTTAAATACTGGCTGCATGTCGCAGAGGCAGACATGCGGTCTTTTTAATCCAGTTAAAAGTAAGAAAAGTTTATAATAAATTGCAGTATATGGCTAAATTAAGTTTTACATATGTTACACAGAGACAGCGATGCCGGGATGATGGTGGATTCGTTGGTCCGGTCCAGAAGAAGCGTCTGATACTCTTTGGAATGCGCTGCAGCAGACAAGGTGGCAAGGGTGACTTAGTAGACTCTGGCTTGGACCGCGCCCGCTCAAACCACACCCGTGGGACGCACATTAGTCGGCGGCGGAGCGCCACTGGGCTTGGTCATGATGTCCATGGCGTTCTTAAACAACTGCGTCCTCACAAAGTCTGTGGCGGCGCTGTTGAGATCCTTGCTAGCCCCGTAATTGCACTTGATGTAGCCGTACAGGTTGGCGGCATTCAGCGCGATGGCAATCATCACCAGCAGCAGCCACTTGAACTTCAGTCCGAAGAGGGCCATCAGAAAGAAAAGGCCCCAGAACACCGGGCAGAGGATGAGGCCCAGCCAGAAGACGCGCTGCTCGTGCTTGTTGACGCGGCTCTTGAAGGATTCAGAAGACTACGTTTCATCATCAAGGGAATTCGTTGATCCTAGTTAATGACTCACATTTTTCGACTCGAACACCCAGTGGGACTTGCCGTCGTCGTCGACGTAATTCCACCACCGCAGGCCCACTAGCAGCCGACCGGAGATGTTCTTCACCGTCCAGAAGTCCGCCGAGAGGAAGAGCACCACAAACACGAAGCTGGTGATGAAGGACTCGCTGAACCAGCCGCAGAACATGTAGATCACGATGGCGGCTCCCCTGAAGAACAGGTGGAAGAACGTGACGTATGGGTGCCTGCAGCAAAGAAGGTATTAACTGAAGTGAGAACAGCTGGCACAGGGCGACTTCTGCCTACGTGTATTTCTGGCCCGCCTGACTGGGATCCCGCATCTCGTCCTCCTCGCCAAAGGGTATCGTGTCATCGTCGAGCAGCGGCACCTGGACAACATGTAAGATAAGTTAGTAAAGCCTTCCGAGGGTTTTCCTGAGGGGAATCTCTATTCTCGGTAGAAGAAAACCTCTGGTTTGTCGGGGTGGCACACCAAAAAGCGGGTTGTTAGGGGTTAATTGCGGCATACATACATTTCTTACCGTTGCGGATGCCATACTTTATGTTGTTTATAACCTTGTGTTGAAGACTGGCTCTTATTTCATAGAGTTGAGTGATTTTAATGCAATTTTAATGTTTTTTTATTTCTCTAAACTTTTGTGTTGTTGTTTTTGCCAGCTGCAAAATTATCGATAATAGCGTAATCGATAGCACATCAACTGGTCACACTTAGCGCTATCGATGTCTGCGACAAGTTGGCAGTCCGCGACGGACGATCTGGTACTTTTTGGTCTGAGCGACTAGCGTTGCCAGACTTTTTCAATTATCGCGATTTCGATAGAAAAACATCAATATATCGATATTTTGATATATTATTAACAACCCTACTTTGCGCATTATTTTAAAATCAAACGGACAAACGAAGACGTCTGCGCCCACGGATTTCCTAGGAATTTGTGCTAAAACGCGCTTCGGAAGGCTTTAATCTGTACATATAAATTGATAGGTTGCAAGGTGTGTTAAGGGAAAAGTGAAAAAAAGGATTTCCAGGCGGCACACACTCACACGGGCACGCATACAAGTGCAACTGCCTGGCGTCATTTTCGGACTGTACGCGCGGTAAAAGCCGAAATAATTGATTTAAATTGCCTGCAATGGATGTGTCCAATGGAAATACGTCGCGACAGCCGCCCAAGAAGTCCAACCAAAACATCCAGGTGTATGTGCGCGTCAGGTGAGTGTCTACGCCGCAGGAGGATGCATCGGAATGCGACTTCTGACTTTTGACCTCTTTACGCAGGCCCTTGAACTCCCGGGAGAGATGCATACGCTCTGCCGAGGTGGTGGACGTGGTGGGGCCCAAGGAGATAGTGACACGCCACACCCTGGACTCCAAGCTGACCAAGAAGTTCACCTTCGATCGGAGCTTCGGGCCCGAGTCCAAGCAATGCGATGTCTACTCCGTGGTGGTGTCTCCACTGATCGAGGAGGTCTTGAACGGCTACAACTGCACAGTGTTTGCCTATGGGCAAACGGGAACGGGCAAGACACACACCATGGTAGGCAATGAGTGCGCCGAGCTGAAGTCCTCCTGGGAAGATGTAAGTATAAACTTGACCTTTCACAGCATCCATTCCATCCTCTACAAACTACTTGCCTACCTGCTAACCTAAATTGCTGCCAAAGCAAAGGGTTTCTGCCAGGTTTTTAGCCAGAAAACCGGTTTCTTAATTGCAGAAAAAAACCAATCTAAATCTTTTCTAATACCAATTTCCTTTTAGGACTCTGATATTGGCATTATACCGCGAGCGCTGAGTCACCTCTTCGACGAGCTGCGCATGATGGAGGTGGAGTACACGATGCGCATCTCATACCTGGAGCTGTACAACGAAGAGCTGTGCGATCTGCTCTCCACTGATGACATGACCAAGATTCGCATTTTTTGACGACAGCACCAAGAAGGGTTCTGTTATCATCCAAGGCTTAGAGGAGATTCCCGTGCACAGCAAGGACGATGTGTACAAGCTGCTGGAGAAGGGCAAGGAGCGCCGGAAGACGGCCACTACCTTGATGAACGCCCAGTCGTCGCGTTCCCACACGGTCTTTTCGATTGTGGTCCACATCCGGGAGAACGGCATCGAAGGCGAGGATATGCTGAAGATCGGCAAGTTGAATCTGGTGGATCTGGCGGGCAGTGAGAATGTTTCCAAGGCGGGCAACGAAAAGGGAATACGTGTCCGGGAGACGGTCAACATTAACCAGAGTCTACTGACGCTTGGCAGAGTGATCACTGCCCTGGTGGATCGTGCTCCCCATGTTCCCTATCGCGAATCGAAGCTCACACGGCTCCTGCAGGAGTCACTGGGTGGCAGAACCAAGACCTCCATCATAGCCACCATTTCGCCAGGTCACAAAGACATCGAGGAGACGCTCAGCACCCTGGAGTACGCCCATCGAGCCAAGAATATACAAAATAAGCCCGAGGTCAACCAGAAGTTGACCAAGAAAACGGTGCTCAAAGAGTACACCGAGGAGATTGACAAGCTGAAGAGGGACCTCATGGCCGCCAGGGATAAGAATGGCATCTACTTGGCCGAGGAGACATATGGCGAGATGACCTTGAAGCTGGACTCGCAGAACCGCGAGCTCAACGAAAAGATGCTGCTGCTAAAGGCCCTAAAGGATGAGCTCCAAAACAAGGAGAAGATCTTCAGCGAGGTGAGCATGTCACTGGTGGAAAAGACTCAAGAGCTGAAAAGGACCGAGGAAAACCTCATGAACACCAAGGGATCGCTGCTGCTCACCAAAAAGGTGCTGACCAAGACCAAGAGGCGTTACAAGGAGAAGAAGGAGCTGGTGGCCTCGCACATGAAGACGGAGCAGGTCCTTACCACGCAAGCCAAGGAAATCCTGGCCGCAGCCGATCTGGCCACTGATGATACCCATCAGCTGCATGGAACTATTGAGAGGCGACGCCATGTGGACGCGGAGATTCGCAGATCCTGCGACAAGTTCAAAGATCGCATGCAGGACAACCTGGAGATGATTGGTGGCAGTCTGAGTCTGTATTTGGAGCAGGAAACAGCATCCAAAGGGAGACTGAACGAGGAACTGGGTAAGTTTCCCAAAGAAACAAATCTTAAATCGTTTTTTAAATTTACTTTTCCTGAATCTGCAGAAAACTCCAGCAATGTGAGCTTACGTTTGGCTAGCAATGCAACCAAAACCATCGAGATGCTAATGGGAATCTGCAGCCAGTCTGTGGCGGATCAGGCTCAGTTGCACAAGCAGTTGATAAACGAAATCTCGCAGAGCTGCGATCAGCACACTCAGAAGCTTGTCGCCCAGTTGCTGGAGCAGATGCAGCAGCGAGAGCTGCAAATGAGCAGGGACATTAAGGCCAATCTGCAGGAGATGGAGGAGAACAACCAGCGCCACAAGGCCATGCTGGACTCCATGCAAGAGAAGTTCACCCAGATCATCGACAGCAGTTCCCAGTCTCTGGAGCAGCATGTGGCCAAAGTGCAGCAGCAGCTGGATGAGCTCAGCGGCATGAGTGTGCCGGATGGAGAGCATCTGAAGCAGCTCCAGGAGGAGCTGGCCAATGAACGGGCGCTGGCCCGGCAAGAAGAGGCGCTGCTCGAGTCTCTGGTGATGCAAATGGAGCAGATTAAGAATCTGCGGACCAAGAACACTCAAAGCATGTCGGAACGCATTGGTCACTTGGAAGAGAATCGGCTGGCCAGGAATAAGCACATCGATGGGACTCAGTCGGGGATTCAGGATTACAAAAAGTTGGGTAACGAAGCCTCTCAATCCGCCAGGAAAGAGCTCAGCGGGCAAATGGAGACGGGTATGCTGTGCCTGGACCAAGGCATAGCCAAGTGCTCCATGCTGCAGGTGCACATACAGAATCTCGGCCAAGAGTGTGCCAAGCAAACAGAGGTCAATGTTCTGGCTAGCCGCCTGCACCAGCAGTCGCTCCTGGAAATCTGCCAAAAGAGCGACAAGCAGCAGGAGGAGCTGCAAGGAAAACAGAAAAATCTCCTTGAGGAAACTGCCACCGAGAGGCAGCAGCTCATCACCGAGGACAGGCAGATGTTTAGAGGACATTCCACTTTAGCCAGCGATCTTGTTTTGGAATTGACTCGCCAAACCAATGAGCATGTTGCACTTCAGCGCCAGCAGTTGCAGATCTGCGAGCAGGAGGTGACGCGCTTCCAACAAAGCGAGCTGAAGACATATGCTCCCACTGGGACCACGCCCTCCAAGCGTGACTTTGTGTATCCAAGATCGCTGGTGGCCACGTCGCCGCATCAAGATATCGTAAGGCGATATCGCCAGGAGCAGGATTGGTCTGACTTGGACACAACGGCCACCATAGATGAGGTAACTAATGAGCTAACAAAATAGTTTAAAATATTTAATGTATTTTTCCAACAGTGCAGCGAGGGCGAGGATGATGCTTCTTCCCTGCACTCGGTTCAGGAGCTCTCCGAAACGGAAACCATTATGAACTCCACGCCCATTGAAGGCGTGGATAACATCAATAGGAAACGTGGCACTACCAGAAACTCAAATTCGAATTCAAATGCCTTGAAGCCACCGGTGGCTGGCGGAGGAAGCACTGGCAAGCGCAGTAGCTCTTTGTCTCGCTCTTTAACGCCCAGCAAATCGTCACCAAGGAATTCGCCCGCCTTCAACAGGGTAAGTCAAGGGAAGAGATTTCCGCTAAACGCTGGACAAACAGCTCCCGCTGATGATTTATATTTATATTCCTTTTATTTACCATATTCCCAGAATAACAAAGAAAACGTGGCCTGATTGCATCGATGTCCCCCCACCGTACTCATCCCAGTAACTTGAATCGTTTTTGTTTGTTTGGCTCTTTTCGATATTCTTTTTATTTTTAATCTGTATATCAAACTTTGGAATTTCGTACAATTATTATTTAAATAAACTTAGTATGCTATGTAAAGTTAGCAAGAGCTTTTAAGACTTGAGTTCAAGGTCGCCAGTTCAAGTTTAACTTACAGATAAGTTCAAGTTTTAATATTTAAAGAGGGTTCCATTCAAGGGGAAAGGAAATATTAGTAGAACTTGTATAAATAACGTTAAGGAGCCTCTACAAAAAAATAACTAAACTTTAAGTTTAATATTTAAATAATTTTCCACTCCTTCATTCGTGTTCTTTATGACTCCAATTCAATTTATTTGTAATCCTAAATGATTTTTTAGGGTAAAAGTAGAAGCAATCTTGTTTATTTATGTAAAATGTAGTGACCAAAAGTGTCAAGTACTTATTCCTCATCGTGCTCGTCGTCATCGTCCTTGAGAATGCCCAGGCGACGAGCCACCTCCTTGACATTGGCTATGAACTCCTCCTGAACAAGATTGAAGCTCATGGCCAGCAGGGCAATGCCAAACAGCAGATACAAAGAACAGTAGGCAATGGACTGCTCTGATTCATCCTTGACTCCCTTGGCAGGAACAAAGTCTCCAAAGCCTGTAAAAAAATTAAATTAAATCATCAACAAAAGAAATTTAAGCCACAACTCCTCACCAATTGTTGTCAGTGTAATAAAGCAGAAATATGCAGAGTCCAAGAAGGACCAATTCTCCCAGTAAGCAAACAAGACAGCTCCACCAAGAATGTAGCTGACCACCAGAAAGACGCACAACCAAATGGGCACAGGACGGTCCTTGGGCAGCAAATCGCCATAGTCTCCATACTCATCCCCATACATAGAGTCGTCGTCATCATAGTCATAGCTGGGTCTTCGACGGATTTGCCGCTGTACAGGAAAACCCATGGGAGACATGATCCTAGGTGAGGGAGGCAGACGTTCGCTTCGCTCTCTACGTCGATTTCTTCTCGGTTCGCGGCTTCTGGAGCGACGACGTTCCACGGGATAATCCTCGTAGTGGTCTCCATAAAGCGACCCCTCATCGAAGCTCTCTTCTACATACTCCTCGTATCGTCCTTGCGAGTGGCCACGTCGATCCCTGCGATGATCCCGTCCCGCATCATAGTCCGGCAGTTCCAGATGATTGCCATAACGCGAGGACTGCCTACCCAGACTGCCAGCCCTCCTGCCATTGTTCTGACGATGGGAACTGTGCGGCGGTGGTTGCGGGGATCTCTCCCTCTCTCGATCCCTCTGGCGTTGTCGTTGGTGAGCGGATCTGGGCATGGATTGGCTCCTTGGTGCTGCATGCCTTCTATGGCCGCCTCCGCCAAAGTCGTCCAAGGCGTATCGGTTTGGAATAATGGGAGTTTTCCTCACCACATCCTCATCCACATCTTCGTAGTGCGAGGACACGTGCCTGGGATCCACGGACTTGGCTCTACTTCTCCCAGGAGCCGAGTGGAGGCGATGAAGCTCTCTGGAAGCCTTCGAGGATTCCTGATTATGCGGAGATCGAACCGAACGGACACTGGCAGCTCTCTTGGCTGGCGGTGCAATGTCGCTAAAGTCCTCGATGGAGCCGGCATCCAAGTGGGATCGGGAGTACCGCTCCCTTTCCACCGTATGCCTGTCTCGCATCCGATCCCGCTGCCTCTGCCGGCTGCTGTAGCGATTTGAGCGATTCAGAGTCTGGGTCTCGTACTCATCCCCGTAAATGGTGTGCCGCTGGCGAGGATCGTGGTGCGAGTGCTGATGCTGCTGCTGCTGATGTCGACGGTTGCGTCCGCCACTTGAGCGGTGTCCAAACTCTCGATCGTCGTAGCCCCTGCCCATTGTCCGCAGTTCCGGGTCGGAGTAGGCATGTCCCATGGATGGCCCTAGCCCGGAGTCATTGCCCGAGCGTTGGGTCATCTTCATGGAGCGACGAAAAGAGGGTGGCGGCTGAGAGCGGGCATTGCGTTGGGAGCGCATGGAACGTTGACGGGAGCGGGCATTCCTTGGTCTCTTGGCGGTACGGGTGCAGACATAGCAGCAGATGCGCCAGTATAAAAACCTGGTGAGTATCAAATAGGATTTATCAGAAAACTAATAAATAAATATTCTAAAATATATAATAGCTTCAAAACTCACCGAAATGATGTGGCCATGACATCTCCAATGTTGGACAGGCAGATCAGCATCAGTGGAATGCCCACGATGGCGTAGAAAATCGTTGTCACCTTGCCCCAATCCGTGCGCGGCGATATGTGGCCATAGCCTGTCCAGAATATGACGGGGAAATAATTAATGGATGCGACTTCCAACGGTGAGTTTGATTTCAAGTCATGCCCCTACTTTTACCTTCAACCTTGTGACCGCCAAGTTCTTTAAATGCTAATGGGTCTAAAACCCGCTAAGGCTTAATCTATCTGCACTTCTTTTTGTACAATACAAGCCAAGCCCATTATCGCTTCGAACAAAATAATAGAAAACAAAAACAAACAATTACCAAGTTGGTATTTCAAGTCTGCCGCTTTTGGCGTTTGAGGAAGTGTGCAAATTCATAGATAGCAGTCTTAGCCCCGCTTCGCAGAGTTCTATCTGATGGGCGTAGTCGGTCACTAAACCCATTTGTATTTAAGCCATAAATCCATATCGGGGAGAGAGAGCAAAAAACTAAGCTCCCATCATCATCAGAAAAATGAATCAAATAAGCGACTAAAAAGAATATTAAGAAGCGAATGGTGATGGGTTAAATGCCCTAACTTAGTTATGAAATTTAGTCATAGAACAATTTATGCACTGAAAAATATAGAGGGTTCTAAAGGAGATCATTAGATATATTATTTATCGACTCGTCTCTTCATGCTGTTCAAGAATATTTAGGATTTAGCCCGTCGAAAAAACGTCTTACTAAAATTATAATATCCTACAAACATATGAAATTATTCTTTGATTTCTTATTAAGTAATCCTTTTGTCGCAAACCTTAGCTTAGCCCACCTAACCCTATGCCAGGGTATACTTTTATAAATCACAAAAAAAAATCCCACCATTAAATCTAAATCTAAAACGTCAGAAAAGATAATCACGATCGGTCAGTGGCGTTTGACCTTGCTGTTGTTTTGACCACAAACAATTGGCTGGCAGCGATGCCACTTTCGGTTTCAATTGACACGCTCCACACCCTCGCCCCAGCAACGCCACCCAACTGAACCCATTTTTAGAGGTCATTCACGTGTCGTGTGCTTAACTAACTGTGTCCGAACTGGATTTTTGACCTATGACTTCTGCCCTGCAATCGATGGTTTTTCCAGCAACTCATGGTAATTTCCAGGAATGGGTTTTCTGGGTCGACTAATGAGCAATTACCATTACCAAATGATCGATTCGCGACCGAGATTTATGCGATTTCAACGTGACCATTGGGTGGACAGAATCAACTGTCCGAATCATCCGCTTGCCTCATTGGTTCCTGGGCGGCTCATGCTACTCTCTGCCTCGGCCTGGTCGCGCTTCAAGTGAATCAGCCGATACGTGGGCCCAAGATCTCAGCAGCGTCTGGCACGATCGTCTGCCCCATGCCATGTTTGCGTTGATTCATTGGTAGCGGAGGGCGGCAGTCGCCAATCCCCACCTGTGGCTGCCCTCGTCGCTTGACTGACTTTGTGCGGCGTCATCATCGCCGGCGATGTCTGCTGTCTGTTGGCTGGGCTTTTTGTCGGTTCGTTCTCGTGTGCGGTTATATAAGTAGCGTGCGTCGCTCGCAAATCCGAAGTATTCTGTTGCGGGAGCTTGCTGCGACCAAGCGCAAAATACGGGTCAGTGTGTGATCGAAGAAGTGGGACAAAGGCAAAGTCAGAGACAAAGACAAAGACCAAGATAAGCTCATCATCATGGAACGCTATTGCCTCATCATAGGCTTGTGTCTCCTTGGACTAGCGGCGGCCAAGTCGGCGGAGGGAGATCATGACCATTGGGTCTGGCGTTCCTACAATCGCAGGGAGCGCTCCTTCCGGGACATCGACAGGAGTTCGCCCATCAGGAATTCCTACGACAACAAGCTAAGACGCGAGCCGACCACCCGTCGACCTCTTCCAGGGGAGCCGGAGAACGATGAGATCGAGGATTATGCAGATGTGGAGCCCACCAGGTCAGCGGACAGTCCCACTGTGGGCACTCGCCAGTACAATCCATACGGCGGTCAGGCCAATGCCGGCCAGTTTGGAGGAATTGGTGGAGGCTACGGCGGAAGTCCTGGAGTTTTAGTGGGTCCTGGAGGACCCACAGGAATCATAGGAAGACCTCCTCTGTACCCTAGTCCTTATCAGCCTGGCTATGGCGGTTTCACTGGAGCACAGAATGGCATTGGAGGATATCCAGGTGGTTATGGAGGAGTTGGACAATCGATTCCAGGTGCTGGCTTTCCAGGAGCGAATGTGGGAACCGGTTTCAACAGCTATCCCGGCAACGGATTGGGCTTGACTCAATTCCCCAGCACTGGACAGTATCCTTATGGATCCTATCCTGGAGGTGACTTCAGTGGCAATCAGTTTGCAGCCCCAGGTGGACAATTTCCTGGACTGGGACAGTATCCCAGCAATCCGCAGTTTGGCGGGCCACAGTACACTGAAGGTTACGGCTTGGCTGGAGGTTCGAGTCTAGGTCAACTGGGACTTGGTGGAAATGGAGGTTTTGGTTATGGCGGAAATTTCCCACCTGTGGGAGGCTTTGGCTACGATGAGAAATCTCCAGCAGTGGCCGAGGGCAAGAGCGCCAAGAGTGTGGCAGCATCACCCAGGACGGTGAACGATAAGATCACCAAGAAGGTCTAGGATTACGATCTTTCATACGAGATCTGCAACAAAGAATCTCCTGTGCCTGCCTGGCTCCTTCCTATTAAAACACTTCCACCCCCTCTCAGCTGTACATAGTTCCCTTAGCTTAGGCATAGTTTAGGCTTATTGTTAGACTAAGCAAATAAATCCCAATTTTTATCCTGGTTGTAAATTTTACTAATTAATGGTCTCTATTTTACTTACCTATAGTTGTTATCACTATTATAGAGTAAAACAGAGAGCCAGCAAAGGTCCATTGGGACTTGCGCAGGTCCTCGTCGCCATCCCAGCCATCGGCTTTAATGGCCGTCAGGATCTGCTTCTCGAAGTTGGCCAGATGTTTGCTCACGTTGGCCATCCAGTCGCTTTCCCGCAGGACCACAGCGTCATCTGACAGCAGCCAAATGTTCTCTGTGAGATTAAATCGAAGATGCTGGATATCGCGCTTGACCTGTAGAGAAATTTAAAAGGTTTCAGAAATGAGTTTCCTTTACTAGGTAACCAAACTCACCTCCAGTTCATGGGGCTTTTCGAGATGCTGGAATAGGTAGGCTCCGCCCACGCAATAGGAAACTACGAGGAGCACGAGCAGCACATGGGACACGATGCAGGTGAGCACCTTCCACGAGAAACAGATGGCAGCCACACAGCGTCCCCGTTCTGGCTTTGCTGGTTCCATCATGTGCGCCGGCAGCGACTGTGCCCGCCTACTCGACATGGTTGCCCAGCGCTTCTCTTCTTCCGTTGGCTAATTTACCGCTCGGCTGGTTGTAAATTATGAAATGCAAAAGAAACTAAATAAAGGACAAGACCGGGAAGACAAGGGTCGAAGCCTTAAATACCCTGGGAAATTACTTGGATAAATGGTAAATTATGCAACAACTGAGGGTTGTTTTGAACAATATGGTGTTCTTGGAACGAAACTTTACTAGGAAGTTTGGTATTCCTTTAATCAATGCACACTAATGGATAACAGTTCAGAGAAAAGTGGCATTATTAATTAAAAAAAAAAAAAACATTAATTGCTCTCCCATAACGAAACCTACTTAATTGAGTCTGATTTTCTTGGTTCTTGTGATCTCCAAAGGAGCCACAAGAGTTTACTGGGAAGCCGAAAGGTAAACCAGAAACACAGGTCTGTGGCACACATGTTTATTTGTTCAAATATTTATTTATTTGGGTTGCTGGGGCAAGGCCGATCGATGAAACGAGGGGGGAAGGCTGGGCGAGAGACTCCATGAGACTATTTTGGTACCGTTTTGCCCGTTGCCCGGCGGGGGCATTCATCTCATCGTCAAAATCGGACGCCGTAGACCCGTGCCACGCCTGCCGAGAACTCTTCTAGCTTTTCGCTTATACAGAGACTAGGGAGACTACATAACATGTCCGAGCAATTATGAACTTCGATTTCGTTGGGGCAATTAACGCTGCCGATTTATGGGGCCCATGAGATGGGTAATGAGTTTGGAAATGCTTCTAATGTGATGATTACCGAGCAGGGATCGCACTTTGATTTGCACTGGGGAAATTATTCAGTTTTCCAATTTAAGTTCCATGCTGAGTATCCGTTCCCCCTCCGATCCGATTTGATCCGCACAGAGATCCGACACACACCGATCCGTACGACCCACAAACGCTGACTGAGCACAGCTACACAAATGGACTCTCCACGGATCTCTCGGGAAAACGATTTATTTTTGGTCTTACGCGAAGTTCTCTTGTCTTCCGAGGTATATAGTTTTTGGAAAAACTTTTATTATTAAGGCTTTGCTCTTATTATACGTTTTGTTTTGTTCTCAAAAACATCTCAATTTGTGTTTGTTTATGCCGGATTTTCGCTTTTCAACAGCTGATACAGGTGGTCTCTCGTTATATTTGATTTTACTCTTTTGAAAATAAAGCTTTAGTAAATTTCTGAATTGTTTGAATCTTATATTGTAAAAGTATTTTATTAAATTCATAAAGCTTTAAAATTTTAGTTTCAGTTTTTTATTTGTTTTTTACTCCTTTGTTCTGATTATCATTTATTATTATTTTTATCTTATCAAAAACCGATTAGAGGTACAAAGCCCTCGGCTACTTGAGTTCCTAAACTTTGTAAGCTAAGATAAGAGCTGCAGTTGAGACTATTTTTAGGTGTTCCTTAGTCAACATTAAGTTGCCGGAAGGAGCCCTGCAGTCCAAAGAGGCTCTCAAAATCGACGGGCTGTCCCACTCGTAGGCTCTCGTCGGTGCCATAGTTGTTCTCCTCCTCCCAGTAGCTTCTATGGTCTAGAATACGCTGCTCCCACTCCTTTAGGAGCTCAGGAATCGAACCGTTTTCTCCACCATACTCAACGGGCAGATATTTCTTGGGAATTTGCTTATAGAGTGCTTCCCATTTGCTTCCATGGACATAGAGCTGCGGGTTAAAAAAAATTAGTTATAAACCTTAGTTCTTTCAACAAACAACTTTCACTTACGCGACCCTGCTGTTTCTTGGACATCATGGGCTTGATCATGTTGAAGATCGTCTCAAAACCGTTGGGTGTATTGATAAAATGAATGCCCTGGGGTCGCAGGGGCAGGGCCTCCTCCTGGAAGACCGTCATCTTCTTGGCAAACGAAGGTGTCATTTGCAAAAAGTGGCCGGTGGTAACATTGGCCAGATCCAATATGGATATCATGCCATTCACAATGGCCACATCGTCCTCGTCGAGCATGATTTGCTGCATAAGAGCACTGGCTCGGTTTACCTCCTGAAATGTGTACTTATCGGGATCATAAGCGGCCATGCGGATCAAAGCAAGACGTGGCCCATTATCGTTCAGTGGACGTGGCAGTAGAATAATGGTACTATAAGAGGATTCGGATATTTAAAAAGGATTGTCAGCTACTTTCTACTTACCCCAGCTTAAAGATCTCCAGAGTCTTGTCCACGTCCATATTGTGTCCGCCATAATACTCGGGATACTTGGTGCGCAGCGTGTAGAACCTGTCGATCTTGGCCTTGGTCCTTTCCAAACTAAACTTGCATCCACGCAGGAAGTTTACCAAAAACTGATCCTCAGTGCGAGCCTTCAGGTGAGGCTGCTGCCTTATCCACTCCCGCAGAGCGGCAATGTCGTCATCGAGCTTGCTGGGCACCTCGTTCAGCTTCTCGATGGCGTTCTTCTGGAGCTCAGGACTCAGCGGGCGGATGGACGGCATCGTGAGGTTGGAATCTCCTTGGCGGTCTGCGAACGAATGTCGATTTTTGACCCTGCCATTTGTGCAACTCAAGTTGGAATCGACGATAAGCTATCGTCTGAGCACTGATAACCATGTATTGAAATAGTCGCCAAGAAGAACACCCAGCAAAGCTTATCGAAGCATTTATTAGTTTATAGCCCAGCGCAAGTTACAGGTTTGTGAATCGAATCAGTCGATGATCAACTGGCGGAAGGAGCCATCCATTCCGAAGTGACTCTCTTTCTGGCCAAGGTTTGTGGGCTCCTCGCGCAACTTCTCGTTGGTGCCAAAGTGCTGGGACTCCTCGAAATAGCTCCGATAGCTAGCCAGTTTGGCCTCCATATTATCGGTTATATCCCGAATGGTTCCCTTGGTGCCTCCATACTCTGCGGGCAGATATTTCTTGGGAACGGACTCAAAGATGGCCTCGGGATCGGAGCTGACTGACACCTGCAATGAATATTGAGTTGTAAAACCTTCCTTGAGGACTGAAAGTGCCTTACCCTCTCCTTGATCTTTGCCGGAAACCAACCCAGCAGCGACTTGAAGCCCGTCTCGAAGGCCTTGGGCGCATTGATAAAATGGATGCCCCTCTGCCGCGTGGGCATAGCCTCGTCGGCATAGGCCGAGAACTTGCTCAAAAGTTGAGGCTGAAGGGCAAACAGATTCGCACCCGTCACGCCACTCATGTCCATGATCTCCAGGTAGCCACTGACCGAGGCATTGTCATCCTCCAGCATCATGATCTCACCAAACATGGAGCCCACTCGAATGATGTCCTGAAACTTGAATTTACTCAAGTCGTAGGAGCAGGCCCGAATGATGGTCACAGCTGGGCCAGTGTCGTCTTTGTCCAGGGGAATGCGCAAGATGACTCTGTGGGAAATCACAAATTAAATATAGCTTCAAAGATTTTGGAAATTCCAAGTTTCTACCCCATGCGAATAATCTCCAGCACTTGAGGATCATCGGCCAAACGATGCTCATTGAAAATCTCAGGAATGACGGCCTGCAAGCTGTAGAATCGATCGATCTTTTGCTTGGCCTTCTCCAGACTAAACTTGGAGCCGCGCAGAAAGCTGAGCAGGAATTGATCCGCCACGCAGGAGCAGAGATGAGGCTGCCTTTGCAGCCACTCTCGTAAGGCGGCAATGTCGGATTCCACACGACTAGGAACCTCGTTCAGCTCCTCGATGGCCACCTTCTGCAGGCCCGCCGGCAGAGGACGCACTGGATTGGGGGAAACTTTACTCATGCTGGCAGCACTATCAAATGCAGACTGACCAAAATATTGAGCACTTAAAGCCGCCAATGCAATTGGTCGACACTCGAATATAATATTCAAAGCAACTGCCGATAAGATCCGACTAATCTGGCTAGCGATTAGCCGGGTAATGGTTTAGGTTTTTATACCCTTGCAGGGTATTATAATCTTAGTAAAAGCTTGCAAAGCAGTAGAGGATTCATTTCCAACCCACAAAATCATATATATTCTTGATCAGCATTAACAGGCAAGTCTTTCTAGACTTTATAAAGATTGTAAATGCAGTAGCAATATTATTAGCCTTCAAAAAATCGATTTAATTACGGATATTGATCCATTTGCAAATTGCAAGGGTATACCAACTTTGGCTTGTCGAAGTTAGCTATTTATACCCTTGCAGGGTATTATAATTTCAGTCAGAAGTTTGCAACGCTGTGATGGAGACCTTTCCCACCCTATAAAGTAATTTTATATAATTTTAGGATTGTCAGAGATGAAGCTGGAGGAGCGAGCAGATGGCTGGACAGACCTCAACCGGATGGCAGTGGAGGACGGTGATCGGATCTTGGCTCCGGGCTATATGAAAGCGTGCAGAAGGTGTAAATAATTAAAATATTTATAAATACAATTTAAATATGTAAATTTAATTGATGGAACACACAAATATGAATCAATAAAAGATGGTGAATTCAATGTGCAATTGTTTGATGAAGGCGGCATTTATTTGGGATCGTTTGGGGAAAAATCTAATTATTTTGAAAGCCAAATCTAAATTTTTAATTTTTTTTCTGAATTTTAAACATTTTTTTCGGATGTTTTACAATTTTTCTAAATTAAAATTTTTTTTTTTCTAAATACTTAAAACTTTTCTGAATTCTTAAAATTTTGCCTGAATTTTTAATTTTTTTTCATTTTTTTTATATTTTTTTTTAGAATTTTTTTTTAGAATTTGTTACATTTTTTTAAATGTAACTGCCAAATTTGAATTTGAATTTAACTGTCAAATTTGAATTTAACGACGATCAGTTTCAGTGTGCCCAGGTGCAGTTGTAAAATAATACCTAAATATAGATTCAAAGGATTTGAGTCTCCGCTAACTTGCGCCGGCTCCTAAATGGTTTGAAACTTGGACTTTTTATAACAGTTTATAACAGTTTTCAGTCGCTTGCTGCTGATTTCTGTTCGCCTGGTACCCCAATTTGGGAAACGGGCAATTTGCATGGAAATGTTCGGAAATTTGGATGGGCTGCTGTAGGGATGTTGTTGTAAAAAGGTTGTTGTTGCCATAAGCTGTTGTTGTCGGCAACAAATAGGTATAAATGCATAAAATGAAATATAACAGTTTATGCCAATGATTATTTTTGCCCAAATGTTTTTATAACAGTTTATACCAGTTTTCAGTTGCTTGCTGCTGGTTTCTGTTCGCCTGTTACCTCAGTTTGGAAAGCGGCCAATTTGAATGAAAAGTTTTGCTCACTTCCATCAGTGATGCTCACTTCCATCAGTGATGATCACTTCCATCAGTGATGCTCACTTCCATCAGTGATGCTCACTTCCATCAGTGATGATCACTTCCATCAGTGATGCTCACTTCCATCAGTGATGCTCACTTCCATCAGTGATGCTCACTTCCATCAGTGATGCTCACTTCCATCAGTGATGATCACTTCCATCAGTGATGCTCACTTCCATCAGTGATGCTCACTTCCATCAGTGATGCTCACTACCAACAGTGATGCTCACTTCCATCAGTGATGCTCACTTCCATCAGTGATGCTCATCACTGGCAGCTAGTGAGATGCAATTTTCTACCAATAATGCAAAAAAATAGCTAGATGAGCATCACTGATGCACATGCGCATCACTGACATTAAGCCCGACTTTATTGACCTCCAATATTGAAATATAGCCAGATGAGCATCACTGATGCAGATGAGCATCACTGATGCAGATGAGCATCACTCATGCAAGTGAGCAAAAATTTCCATTCAATTTGGCCGTTGCCCAAACTGGGGTAACAGGCGAACAGAAACCAGCAGCAAGCAACTGAAAACTGGTATAAACTGTTCTAAAAACATTTGGGCAAAAATAATCATTGGTATAAACTGTTATATTTCATTTTATGCATTTATACCTATTTGTTGCCGACAACAACAGCTTATGGCAACAACAACCTTTTTGACAACAACATCCCTAAGCAGCCCATCCAAATTTCCGAACATTTCCATGCAAATTGCCCGTTTCCCAAATTGGGGTACCAGGCGAACAGAAATCAGCAGCAAGCGACTGAAAACTGTTATAAACTGTTATAAAAAGTCCAAGTTTCAAACCATTTAGGAGCCGGCGCAAGTTAGCGGAGACTCAAACCCTCTGAGTCTATATTTAGGTATTATTTTACAACTGCACCTGGGCACACTGAAACTGATCGTCGTTAAATTCAAATTTGACAGTTAAATTCAAATTCAAATTTGGCAGTTACATTTAAAAAAATGTAACAAATTCTAAAAAAAAAATTATAAAAAATATAAAAAATCTGAAAAAATTTTAAAAATGACTCCTTCACTGGGAAATCAACTTCTAACTGAAAGTATGCTCTTAAAAAATAAGCAATAAAATATAAATTTTATAAAAATCGGACAACTATATCATATAGCTGCCATAGAAGCGATCGGTAGATGTTGAGAAAATGTAAAGCTAGGAATGTAACTGTAACTATCAAACTGTAAACATAATAAGTATAGTTAAAATGTAATAAAATAATATCTGCAAGGGTATACAAACTTCGGCGTGCCGAAGTTAGCTTCCTTTCTTGTTTTTCTTTAAAGAAGATCAGGAGAACATGACTAACAAACAATTGAGGTCTGAATTTAAAGAATATGGATCTATAGATCTTGAGATCTAAACACTCAACTAATTTGTCTTGAGAATTTAAAGATCCCGTCCTGAAGTTTATTTTGTATATCGTTTTATATTTTATAATTGAAGCTTTTTAAATTACAATAAGTCTGGCTTTTTCTTATATCATATAAGACCGAAGTATCACTGATAATTATCAGTTTCCGGCAAGACAACTATTTCTACTCCAAGTTGAAATGTCTTACCCCAACAGAGGGTTAAAAGAACCTTGCTTATCAATTTGCACACACAGGCACACGAAAAAGCTATAGATAAAGTCGTCCAAATATCAAGTCGATGTACAGTATAAACTTTATTCAAAGAAAAATAAACATGGAAATATAATTACGCTAGAAGTGAAGAACTACTGAGCTAACGCTTATCGGCTAGTTACCCTGTTGAAGCTGCCACCGTCACTAAGCTAGTCTCGGGCGCAGTTATCTCGAGATGATTGCATAATATCGAATATATATATATTATCTGTGGATATATCTATTGAATGTTCTATAAATACGCGAATCTTGTGAAGCGGATGTAACCTAGGAGTGGACTGCTATTGCACAGGAGCTGGAGAATCTTTCGAAGTGATTAGGTTGCTAGTACAGGCCGGAGGGCAGGTCCGTCACCTTGGACATGGATCCCTGGGTGTAGGAGCGGGTACGTGCGGTGGCACCCTTTCCTCCGCTGGGATAGTTTGGAGGCTCGTGCATCCGCATGGCCGGATTGCTGGTGAAGTAGATCTGCTGATTGCTGCGCGACTTCTCCCTGCCGATGGCTGCCTCGTTCAGGGCTTCGTGGGCGTGGGAGGAGTGCGAGGATGCGAAGGCCGCTTCCAGGCGTTCGACATTCTTAGTGACCCGGCGGGCTT